GATGTCAGGTATGGATGCTGTCTACCTGGATAGCAAAGGGGTAGTCAGGATGATCAGCTATGGTCCCTTCTGGCTGGACCCCAATGCTTCAGCTCCATGTCTCTTGATCTACACTTTATCTCCTGGCCAAAAGGGATGTGGATGAGGCAGTGGAGTCTGGAAAGCAGCCTTAAAGTAGGCCATGGCCTCCTGAGTTAGCTGTAGAGTCTGTACAGCCTGAAGTAGTTGATTTACTAATTTCAGTGGTTAGTTCTAATCCTATTCAAGGGAAAATGGGAGGTCTTCCAAAAAAATTTCAAATGCAGTTAAACCTTTTACTTATGGAGTACTTCAAGGTTAATTCAGTCAAGGTCTCTGCCAGGTCTGATTTATCCTCTCTACCTGCCTTGAACTTTGGGGATGATACACACAATGCAACTTCCAGCTGATTCCCAGAATACCAGAAAGGCTCTCAGTAGTTCTAGATATGAAGGCTGGTCCATATTTGATCTTATGAATAGTGGGATTCCAAATCTAGGTATTATCTCTTCAAGTTTCTTGGCTGTGATCTGAGCAGTCTTGGTGGGAGAAGGGTACCCATCTGTGTACCCACAAAGACAAGTAAATACCTATATCCATACTGTCCTGGTCTTGGATCTGTGTAAAACCTACTTCATTTATCTGGTCCTAGGCCTCATTCCTTGATGCCTGGGATGGCACCTTATTGGAGACAGTGTTTGTATATTGACAGGATTGACACCTGGCAACACTTTCCTGTATTATCTGGTCCATTCCTGTGAGAACTAACAACTTATTTAAAAGCCCAGTTAACCTGAAGGGACTCCTAGGTGAGTCCCTTCATGGAGCTGACTTGCCAAATGTCTTCCTAGTGCTTGATGGAGCACAATTTCCTCATCAGTTAGTTTGAGCCATGCTTTGGTGCCCAGTTTTTCAGCTGCCCGTAAATCTTTTTCTGAGTATTGGGGTCTGTCAGGTAAAATGGGTTCTGGGATGAAAGGCAGGCATTTTACTGCTTGTAGAGCAGCCTCCTTGACTGTATTATAAGCCTTCATGCTTTCAAGTCCCTTAAGTGACTCTCTTTTCTGATGTCTGGAACAGCGGATGATAGCCACTCATTTTGGTACCCAGATTCCAGCTTTTAAGTTCAGGATTTCAGTCTTGTTTTAAATAGCTTTTCCCTCTGTGATCAGAAGGCCCCTCTTCCTATACATGGCTCTGTGCAAATGCATGCTGGCAAAGGCATAGCTAATGTCAGTACATACATTTACAGCCTTTTCTTTCTCCAATTTGAGAGCCTCAGTGAGTGCAATTAGTTCAGCTCCTTGAGATGAGGTCCCTGGGGAATATGTTCAGCCTAGAGGACACATTCCACAGTCACAACACCTGTTCCAGCATACCGGTGTCTTCCTAGATAAAACTGCCATCGGAGAACATTATCAAGTCTGGCTTCACCCATGGGGTATCTGTCAGGTCCAGCTTCAATCCTTACAATGTGATGGTAATTCAAGGCAGTCTGTTGGACTCACTGGTCTCTGGTAGCAAAGTGGCTGGACATAGGGCAGCTCTTTGAGGAAACTTAACTCTCAGCTGGTCTAAGAACAAAGCATGGTAATAGGTTTTATGGCCATTAGTCATCCATATATCTGGGGTGGTACTCAAGAGAGCTTCAAGTGAGTCCCAGAATCAATTTATCAACTTCCTTTGTCAAGAGGGCTAAGGCTGCTACAGCCTTAAGCATGCTGGCCACCCAGCTGTCCCAGGGTCCAGCTTCTTAAGAGAGGTAGGCAACAGGTTGTTGCCAGGGCCTGTCTTCGTGTTAGGACTCCCTGCGAAATGCCTTTCTTCTCACCCACAAACAAGTGGAATGGCTTGGTTATGTCAGGTAAGGCTAATGCCAGAGATGAGGCCAGGGCCTACTTCAGCTCCTGAAAAGCATGCTCCTCTCTCTGGTGTGGAGGTCCTGTTCAGTACCCTAGGCAGCCAGGTATAGGGGCTTGGTCAACTCAGCAAACCACAGGCTGTTTCTTACTCAGTGGCCCATCTATCTGATTTAAAACTGAGTAAGTGGCCTATAACCACAAGGAAATTCTAATTCTGTGCTGTCTAAACCTGCATCCCATGACACAGTCTCTCATTTTTTGGTTTGGGTATTCATCTTTCCAATGGCTGCTCCCTTCAGAGTAGGCACATTGATCTTGGGCATTTGTCTCTCTAATGGCCAATCTCTTTACAGTGGGCACACTGAACTTTTCTCAAGGGGGTGCTTTTCTTGATATCTGTCTCTTTTGGCTTCTTCTTCTTCTTTTTTTTAAAAAATAAATCCTGTGCACCCAGGTCACTCTTCCTGGAAGGCTGCCACCATATTCTCAGCTAATTTCCTGGTCTGCCTATCCTCCAGAGTGTCCCTATTGTTGTACACTTGGGAGGCAATTTCAACTTCAAATCCTCCTGTTCTCCTAATCTTTCCTCAAAGTCTGATGCTGACTAAGAAACAAAAACCTTCTGATTTTCTGGAGCCTCTCGTCAATTGAAGTGTAAGTCTGATTAGCTTCCTGAAGGCAGACAGAAATGTAGCTGGGAGTCATTTGGGCCTTGGATTACCTGACTTAACTTACTGAGACAAATCTGTAGGGCACTTAGCAGCAGCCCAGGGACTTGGAAGAGGTTAAGGGATTCCAATCCCATTGCCTGGAAGGAAAAACCTTCTCAACTAGTATAGGGCCACTGGTCTGTCTCGTCTTCCCTCAAGAGCAGCTTGCGGGCTTCCTGTAGGATTCCTCACTTCTCTTTCACAGTGAAGAGGGTCTGAAGTAGCCACTAGCAGTCTGCCCAAATTGGCTGGTGTGGAGAAAACACTATTTCTAGTGAGAGATTAAACTCTGGGACTTCTTTGAGAAAGAGAGGTTCTGTAGTTTCCAGTTATACAGACTACTAGTGGAGAATGGAACACAAATCAGCACAGACTGAAGGGGCCTTTTGTCTTTCCTACCCTGGGAAGTCCCCACACCAGGGGCCTCCCTCAACGAGAAGGTGGCCCCTGATGAGGAAAGGGGTGCCCGGGGAAGATGTCTTGCAGCTGGCAGCCTGAGGGAGGTCTGGTGTGTCCTTAAAAGAGGAGCAGGTGGGGATACTCCCCCAAAAGGAAGTCAGAAAGGGACTTGGGGTCAGAGTCAGAAGAGGGAGAATGACGGGTGGTTGGGGTTGGTAAGAGGATCTATGCCAGGTGGGAGCTGGGTTTACAATGCCTCCACTGACATGTATCTTTGCTTGGCTGGTGCCCCAGATGTATGGGGTGGCAGTATGACTTCTCTGAGGGGCTGACAGGACCAGAGGCCAAGACTTATACCGCTCCTTAGTTTCGCTCACTTTCTCTGAAAGAAAAACGGTAGTGTTAGGAGAAAGGTCGGGTCAGTAATTTTTTTATCCAGGATTGGGACTGCTCCACTAGACACCTCCAGGCCACGATGTAGGGGAGCTGGTCCGGGTGTCCTGGTTTATTGAAGACCATGTGTTGCTCTTTGTGTATAAGAGAAAGGATGAGGAGTCTTGAGCCTGCCGGCCTACCTGAAATGAAGGTCAATCAAGAGAACAAAAAGTAGTTAATATTCCTGTATAGACCTGTTCTCTGGACTCCTGGGCTTTTCTCTAGCAATCCTTAAAACAAGACTTCAGGTTCAGGGGGCTTCCTGGGTAGAAGAGTTTCACTTTTCTCAACAACGATAAACAAGCAATCTTACACAAAACAAAAAAGACAAAATTCTATAATCTGGTAGCTCCCACCAGAATCCTGATCTAACAGAGAGGGCAGCTTCCTGGAAGCCCCACTGTGTCAGAAATCAACCCTGTATTTAGGTTTCCCAGAAATCCCCAGCCTTGTGAGCTACAGAGAAACCTTACCTCCGAGGTGTTCAGATGCCTCTTTTTGCAATCTAGGCACTGCAAGCTGCTATGGGCATCCCCAAACGCCAGACCTATCTGACTTTCCTCTCAGCTCCCAGGTCGCCAGGTACTCTGAAGGGTACCTAGCTTCCCTCGTGCAGTCTAGGTATCTAGAAGCAGCCGGAGGCCTCCCAAGCACTGGGACTGTCTGGAGAGAAACGTCTCAGGAAGCAACCTAAAATCTGTGATTACAGAGAGGTTTTTAGAGACAAAGGGCACACAAAACACACACCCCAGTTGTCAGTTGCAGGAGGAAGCAAGCCAGAAGCTAAGAGCATGCAGTTAGCCAGGGGTGGGAAGGTAGGGTGGGCATTTCGACCCTGAGTTTCTAGAACATGTTTGGATGCCTTCCTACAGGAGGGCAGAAAGGGCCGAGGGCAGTTTCAGCTTAACGCAAAGATGTCTCCAGCTGAAACATGAAAAAACCTTTGCCCTGCTGCAAAAGGATAAACCCAAACTTTATTCATAACCTAACCTCTTCCCAGCCCTCCTCCCATGCTTTACAGTGGCTCTGGCTGCAATTAGAAGCAGGAAGGAAGCGGGTCACCGGGGACTGGAAAAGCAGAGGGAAGCCTAACACAGTTAAGTACGCCCCTGTTTCTCCGGCCTACGCTGGCCTGGTGCTTGGCGAACGACTCTGACTTTCTGGCCAAGATGAGGATCCGGCTGAGGATCGGCGAAGTGTCTAGAGCGCTAGCAAACTTCCATCATAGGCTGGAGCTCGGCCGAAGGTAGCTCTGGTGCCCTTTCCTCGTGCCCCGGGTTAAGGACACTTCCAGACGGGACCCAGGAGTCTCCACCCAGCCTCTCTGCTGGGACGCAGCAGCAAAGCGCGGTCCGCGGCCCAAGAGTCCAAGCGCTCGCCGGAAGAAGCCGAGGCACCAGCTTCCTGCCGCCTGTCTGTCACGCTAGCCTCGCTTCCGATTGGTCAAAGCCTCGGGCCGGCTCCGCTCGGGCCCCGCCCCCCGCGGACCGACGGGCCAGGGAGGCGGGGCGGCAGCCACTCCGCCCCTCGGCCGCGGGCGGGCCCGCCCAGCTGTCAGTTACGGGGGCGGCCCGGCCAGGCGGGCGCTCGCGGCTTCCCTCCTCGCTGGCGCGTGCTCGCTGCCCCTCGCCGCCCGTGGGGAAGTCGGGGCCGCCCGAGCAGCGTCCCCCACCGCGTCTCGCCCGCCCTCCTCGCCTCGGCTGCCGGTCCAGCCGCGAGCAACCCGCGTAGGGCGCCGGGAGAGTCCCCGCGGCGGCGGCTGCCGGCCGAACCATGTTTCGGAGGATCCTGCAGAGGGTAAGAGCGAACCCGTCCTTCCGGCAGCACGTGAGCGCCGGAGCCCGGCCGCGGGCCACCGAGGCAGGCGGGGCGGGGGGCGGGGGTGCTCCCGGCCCCACTAGGCCCCGCAGCAGCGGCCGCCGAGGCCTGCTGGTCCTGCCCGAGCCGGGCTGCGGCTGGGCGGGGCGCAGGCCGGAGCCCGGAGGCCCGGGGCCGGCTCCCGCGCCGGGCTGTCACTGCGGGCCGGAGGGTGTGGTGCCCGCGCGTCCCTTGCCGCTCCCCGCCCGCGAGTGCGCGGCGGCGGCGGCGGCGGCGGCGGCGGCGGCGGGGCCCTCCCCTGCCCCAGCGTGCCTCCACCTCCCCAGGACAGTCACCCGCCTTTGCCCCTTTACTCATCTGCACCGAACAGGAGAGTAATGGCAGAGCCGGCCTGGCGCTGGCTGGAGTCCTGAGACTGGAAGACGCTTAACTGGCAAAGTCAGCGGAGAAGGAAGATGTTACTCACTGGTGGAAACTTTTTAAAGAATTACAAGTGCATTTTCCTCTCCAAGCCCCAGAACCTCATTTTAGTTATCCCAGGAATAAGTGGATCGAACGGCAGGCAGATGCACTCTAGTTTAGTCTCTACCGGGGCTATCTCAATTTAAAATCTGGAAAATCTTGAGGGTGAAAAGGTAAGAGCGTTAGGAAGCCCTAGGTGTTTTGTTTAGGTACCAGTTCCTAGAATAACATAATTAAAATCTCTTCTAATAAGAGTTGCCTAACTTCAGGTTTTTGTTTTGGATAGCTTCAATTCGCTCCCCTCGGAGAATGGTTAATATGAAGAGATGTTACCTAGAGAGTAGGAGAATTAGTTCAAAGGACAAAAACTTACTGTGTAGTATTTAGTCAAGTAATGTGCCAAGGAGGTTGAGTCAGCCAGTACACAGGAAGGGAAGCCTCATGCTTAGACAGTTTCTGTGAAAAATTTAAGTCATCTGGTCATGTATCAGAGGAGGAATAGTTAACTATTGTCTCTGACTCTCTGTATTGACATTTGGTTTTCTTTTTTCTTTTGCAGTTGTTCTGGCATTTCTTTTTTTTTTTTTTTTTTGAGGTTTTGATAAGGCAGTGATTTGGCAGCAGGCAAGGGCATGTCCTTTACTCTGCCCATCAGTTGCTTCGTTCAACAGTAAAGGTTTCAGTGCCTGATTGATTACTTGATTTACTTAAGGGACTTTTATCAGTCCTGGAGGAACTGATTACCTCACACCTCAGATTTTCTTTTTTTGTCATAGTTACCCAAGAGAAATGGAGTTTGCCTGTGGTTTGCTTTACAGTTTATGTGTTTTCTGATTTGGGAGTTGCTTCTGGTAGCTACAGTTTGGCTTTCAAAAAACATGGGATGCTTTCCAGTACTCTTGAAGCTGTGAACCAGTGGGATTATGTGAAGGTCATTCTTAGTGTTGTTGTGTGTCTAACTGTTCAAGAAGCTTCTGTCAAAGCTAAAACAAATGGTATTTACTATGCTTATTGCTGAGATGTGTTAGTGAATTATTGTATTTGAATAAATCAGATGGCAACTGGGCTTCCTAGCCAGGGAACTAGAGATGCTTGTGAGGGAGTCGCTCTTTGTTGTAGGGGTAGCCTTGTGCATTTGTAGTTGGCTAACATCATCTTTGGCTTTTATGGAGTAAATGACAGCCACATTTTTTCCCCCAATATTGTACCTGCAACCAAATATATCTTCAGACTTTACCCAAATGTTCTCTAGGGGCTAAATTGCCCCTGGTTGGGTTCCACTGTGCTAAATGTATATATTCTTCAATAGAAAGGTTTGTAATATCTGTCATAGTTAACTTTCTCTTCTACAGTGTATATGTTGAGCTTCAGTAGAATTCAGGCACAATGCTAGGAGCTAAGAAATGGTTTAATAAGATTTCACTCTTCCTTTAGAACTCAGAACCTGGTGAACATTAAAAAGTCATTACAGTACTGTGAATGAGAAGGATGAGGAGAGCTCTGGGAGCCACTTTTGGAGGAGGGAATTAGGCGGTTATGATAAGCTTCAGGAAGAAGGGCATATTTATAGCTTGAGAGGGAAGGACCTACCAGGCAGAGGGAGTAGCCTTTATAAAAGTATGGAATCATAAAAGGAGCAAGTGATCCTAGGGGGAGATGAACAGTTACGTTTAAGAAGTGAGACGGTATTCAGGGTTGGGTGGGGGATGAGGCTACTCTAGTGGGTAGTGACCAATTTATGAGAAGACCTTGCATCTCTTGGAAGGTGTTGAGGATTGTCTTGTGATGTGTTTGTTTTAATGCTTAGCATTTAATAGGGGTATTTTGATGAATCTTAATGCGTGTGATTTATACTCATTTAGATCCTAGAGTGTGTGTTTTTTATTGACTCTACAGGTGGTTTTTGCTAACAGGTATAACACGAATCTTTAAATTATGTAAATGTCAATTCTTTTATTTAACCTTACCCTGTCAACCTTATTACTCAACATTGGTACTAAGATATAAGATTAAAACTACACTTACTGATTTGAGGTTTGTTTGAAACAGTCTATATAATTCAAACATGTTTTGAATTATAGTTCGCGTCTCTGACATTCTGTTTTTAGGTGATCTTTAATTTGGATTACTATAATTTTCTTCTGGTTAGTGTCATTTAGATAATATTTTGAAAGAAGAAAAGGACATTGCATGTATAATCAGTTGTAACTCAATCTTTGAACATTACTAATAAGTCTTTAGGGCACTTCACAGAAATTTTCTTCCTTCTCTTCCGTATCTTTAATTAGCTTACTAAAGAAAAGGTGTTATTGAGGCTTAGACAGATCTGGAAAAATGATAATGGTGATGAAGGCATATAGATATGTAGCCTGACTTTTGGCTCCTTTATTGGGTTCTTTTCCCTACCACCCTTCTTCACCCCAATTCCTTCCAACTCCCTCAACGCTATGTAGAAGAGAAGGAAGGATAGAGGGGAAAGAGGGTGTAAATTTCTTTAGAGTACTTCCTGCTAATTAGGGGTATTGAGTTCCTTGGGATAAGTCCAATCTTCCTTGTCAGAATATCTCCAACCAGCAATGAACAGTCAAGTGGCCAGCAAAAGCAGCAGCAGGAACCAGGAGCAGCAGGGACAAGCAGCAGCAGGGGAGCAGCAGCCACCACCTCTCTTGGAGTTCTGTCATTTTATACACACACACACACACACACACACACACACACACACACACACACATACACATACACATACACACACACACACACACACACACACACACACCCCTCTACAGTTTCCCCAGAATTCTAAGCAGAAATTATCTTCAGCTGGCAAAATCACAACCCTCCTGCAGCATGAGACAAACTATAGTTAGTTACTGTGGACAGTCTGAAGCAGCCCTATATCTGACACCTAGGATTAAAACAAAAACATATTCACATAATGTTTCTATGTTTTTCAAAAAAAAACCAAAGTTCTCAGTACACCAATATGTATGTAAGGAATATTTTGATTAATGGTACTAGCCTAGCTGAATTTCTATTGCAGTTTTTTTTTTTTTTAAGAAACATGAACAAGGCAACTTATAAAGGAAGGTGTTCAATTTATGTCTTATGATTTTAGAAGTTAGAGTCCATGAAGGTGGAGAAAGGCATGGCTGACAGGACAGCCGAGAGCTCACATTTTGATGCACAATTTTGAGGCATTTAGGGAGAAAGCCTGCCTGGAGTGATACACTTCCTCCAAAAGGGCCACACTCCTAAGCCTTCCTAAAGAGTTTCGTCAGCCAGGGACAAAGTATTCAAACCAATGATCTATGGAATAAATTCTTTTTTTGTGTATAATTTTATTTTTTTTATTAATTACACTTTATTCACTTTGTATTCCCCCATATGGAATACATTCTTATTCAAACTCTCATGGACACTTTGAGAAATATTTAAGGCTTCCTCTCAGTGGCCAGAAAGATGATCTGCATTTACTACATCAGACAGTTTGCAGACTTTGTGCTGTTTCTTAAAAATTTTTTTTTGATTTAGTAGTGGAGATTAGATTTTCTTTTGCTGATAAATATATAAAATATTCCTAAGGAAAGAATGTATTTAATTCAGAATTGTAGAAATGGAAGGGTTGTTTTTCTGATCATTTGGTTTATCTCTTTGTTTTTACACATCAGAGAATAGAAAGTGAATGGGATTCCTTGATTTATCTACATCAATAAAGTTAGTAGATTCCAAAAACTACTGGAGACGAGAGCCAAATTAAAAAAAAAAGTAGTTGTTTATTTTGTTTGTGTTCTACCTGCATGTATATCTATGCACCATGTTCATACGTGTTGCCAGTGAAGGCCAAATGGAAGGGGTAGATCCCCGTAACTAGAGTTATAGACCTGTGTAAACTGCCATGTAGCTATAGTAACTGAACCCTGGTCCTCTGCAAGATCAGCAAGTGCTTTTAACTACTGAGTCATCTCTCTAGTTTCTACAGTCATTTTTTTTTTTTTTTTTAAGAATTTCCAAGTCTGTTCCCTTTTTCTGGAACATTGTTCCCTCCCTCTCCTTACTGAGTATTTGGTGTGGTTAGCACTGTGGAAAAGGCAGGATAAATGTGAGTCCCAATTTCTCTTTCAGGGACCGTTTATATGAAATGCTAAAGTAAATAATAGAGTCATTAAAGTCTAGTGAAGTACAAAGGAAAGGTCACGCTAGAATTATTGTCATTTGAGGGGGTCTTGAAGAATGCTCAGGATCGAGGGAGGGAAAGTTTTATGGCAGGAAAGGAGATATGATGTAAGCAAAAATTTAGAAAGGGTGACCTTTCTCTCTCTTTTGCTGGTGTTTCTCCCTTAGAACAATGCCTTTTAACACAACAACAGTATGTAGCAGTACTTATAGCATGCACTTATAACAGTACTTGCCATGTAATGGATACTCAAGACAGTGGTGAACAGGCACATAAGTTGTTTAAAACCATATGACTTAGAGATAGAGGTGTATGTAAAGCAGAAAGGTACTAAGAGAGAAAG